AAGCTGAGGCTTGGTGAAGTTAATTGATTTGCTCCGTCACCAAACCAGTAAAAGGTGGTACAGTATTGATTTTCAGAAGCAGTTTTGTTTTGCATATGGCTCAGTTCTGCCCTTCTTTTATGCCTTAGGTTCAAGAGCTGAAGTTGTACAAAATTATATTTATAAATATTGTTCTGAGTATTTTTAGCTAATGGAGTTTTATTTTATTTTAACATTTACTTGTATATATTTGTGGGGTACAGTGTGTTGTTTCAATGCACGCATATACTGTACAATGATTCACTTAGGGTAGGTAGCATAGTTTTGTACCCGTTAGTCCACCACTTCTCCTCCCCACTGCCCTTCCTCCTCTCCCAGCCTCTGGTAACCATTATTCTACTCTCTTCGGTAACTAGTTTCTGCTTTCCATTTCTCATAACTTATTTCTTTCAGAGGTTGGTTTATTATTTCAGATTCTTTTGTCTTTGGACATATCAGTATCTCCCCAATATGATAGATAGGCTAGCACAGTGAGATAATTTGTGTTGATTTATCTCAAATGACTAAGTGATGCAGTATTTTTAAGGAAAAATTATTATAGCTCAGCAATAACAGCTAAATCTTATAGATGCTCAGTGAAATTATTTTCTTCATTTTCTGAACATGCAAATATATAAAAACAATGTTTAATTGTGATCCCAAGCTTGGAAAGTATGTCAGGCAGGTAGACAGCAGTATATGTTCCAAGTAAACACAGATCAATTGAGCTAGAACATGAAGAAATGGAGCACTGATTGCAAGATATAAATTCCCTAAAGTTTTGTGGATAATGCTTAAAGAAACTGCTCAAAAACCAAGGGTGAAACCCATTATGGGTCAATTTGATCATTCTCCAGATCAGCTCTCAAATGTGAAGTTTGAGGGAGTTTAATGTCCTATGCAAACAACCATTTCAGTTGTTTTCCTGAAGGTGGACTCCTAGTGTAATAAAAAGATTCCTGTAGAATTAAAAAGACGAGTGGAATATCCAATTGAATCCTGCTTTTGCCGTTTACTAGCTGGATAAGCTTGCTGCAAGTTACCAGAAACTTAGTATTCTTATGACTAAAAATGGAGATGATGACATAATAATAAAAACAATAACACCTGCCCTTCCAACCTCCTAGAGATGTTGGGAAGGTCAGAGGAGATGATATAAATAAATATACTCTGTGAACGTACATATTTTTATATAAATATGTAGTATTATTAAAATGGCAATTCTGTTTTTACGTGGGTTTTATCATCACAGACGGTTTTAATTCAGTTTTGTTAGTGATTATCTTTGGTTGAATATTATCTTCTTGAGAAATTATACCCTTGTAAACTTTGAGGATGGTTTTAACCCAGTTTTGTTGTTTGATTATTATCTTAGGCTGGGTCTGGATGGGCATGTGACCGGTGTGAGTTTTTATCAGTGCATGGTAACATGCAGTCTTCCTGAACATGACAGCTTCTTTTCCAGTCTTTTTGTGCCTGGCCTTTAATTTTAGACGAGCCATCAGAATGTGTGGTAGATTTCCTGGATAACACCACATGCTAAGCATGGGTTCATAAAAGAGATTTTAAAAACTGACCTTGATATGAAGCCTCCATTCTACTGCAGATGGAAAACAGGCAAGACAGCGTTCCCATGGCATCACCCCACCAGCTCATTTTTGAACAGTAAATGTAATGTCTTGTCGGCAAGAATGACGAGGCTGTACCAGATGTGGGGGTGGGTGCCTTGATAGAGAGAAGTGCTTTTAGCAGAGGCTCTGGAATCAGACTTAACCTTCCTAAATACAACCAAGTTACTTAAACTCTCTAAACCCCAGTTTCTCTTCTATAAAACAGAGATTATTATAACCGCTATGTGGGTTATTGTCACTGGTAAATGAAAATACTTTTCATATTATAAGCTATATCTAACACGTACTAATTATTATTATGAATCCACAATTAACAGAGGATGGAAACAGAGGTACAGGTGAAGGAAAACAGAGCAATGTGTTCATGGTGCAGCTCTTACACATCTTAGAATCATAGTCAGTCCTCTGAAGCCTACTTAACTCTTTTATAGTGTAACTGATCCACTCTCCTGGCACTTCATCATCTAATAGTTATTTCAGCATCAATTGTATTACAGTACCAGAAGAACCGAACTATTAAGTTTTAAGTTCTGTGACATTTTGTTTGTAAGATCGAAGCATAGTTACCAAATTTTAGAAAGAAAAATTTATACTAGATTATAATTTTTGTTCTGTTGAAGAGAAAAAAAGCTGTACAGGGTTAATAGTCTTTCTTTTCACCCATGTGAAAACTATTACTTGAAGTTGGAAGAGCATAGCTTTGTTTGTGGAAAATTATGAATGGTCTGAGGCATTTGCTTCAGAAATAGTGTCTTCACTGGCCTATGTCTGTTTTCTGGCAATTCACATCAAATGGTGCTTTCAAAGCCCCTTCTGCGCTCAGATACTTCATTTAAGCTGTCATCTTGCTCAGAATAAAATTAACATTGCTTCAACTCTGGTCATTTTCCAGGACTGTGTAATTTTTAATGAGCCTGTCTAGCCTAGTATTTTCCAAGTATATGCCAGTGTGTCAGCGTGTGTGTGTGTTCATGTGGTGTGAGTTTGCTTGTGAGTAGTAGAGATTGTCACCCAGTGGTGGCCTCCTATAAAATCTCCACGGGGTCATGGAGTGGTGATAGGAACTTTTTTTTGTCGTTGTTCCTTGGCCGGTAACATGGGCTGAGAAATTCTGGTCTGGCAATTGAATGTTCAGCACAGCTTATTGGTGATGAAACTCCTCAGGTAGGCAAGAGCCAGGCCTGAGCCTTGGAGAGGAAGTTCTTGCCAGTGTTTGACCGGCTTCAGTTGATTTTGAAGCTGGAAGCTACGCTGATAAAGTCTACCCCGAAGTCATTGCCTGACTGTTTGGTCGGGTGATCTACCAGCTAATCTTTGACTAAGGAACAGCACCCAGCTGTGTCTNCTGTTTGGTCGGGTGATCTACCAGCTAATCTTTGACTAAGGAACAGCACCCAGCTGTGTCTTGGTGGAGCCTGAGGGGTCACATGACCTCACTTTTGTTTTTCTTTTTTACCCATCAGCCTGGAGTACTGCCTTCCGAAAGCCTTCTTCATCAGCCAGCACACAGCAATTCCTGGAAAGGATCTACCGAAGATGAAAACATCTTCAACACGTTTCTCAAAATCTATGAATAAATTGAAAAAGTTTTCCAAGTAACAGTGATACCCGGGCGTCTGGGGGCAGAGAAAAAGTGTAAGACCCTTTTTAGGAGCCGGGGCATGCAACTAACTTATCAGAAAGTACACAATCTAACAATAAACACCGCAATTCGCAACCCAAAGAGACGGAAGTGATCAGAAGCTAACAGTCCCCTGGGTTTGCTTGCATGACACAGGGTATGTCAGAACAGTGTGCAGGAAACTGTGTCTTGAGCAGAGCAAGGTAAAGAGAGGGAGTCAGCTCGGCAGCAGCACGGGGGTCTCTGTGGCCTCCAGCCTCTGGTGGATGAACTCTTTGCAGCTCCTAAGTGAGAGAGATCGCGGGAAATCTTAGCTGGCGCGGGGACCGGGAGGAGGGTGTAGCGATTTCGGCGAAACCCAAACAGGGTGGGGCAGGGGCTGCTCTCCAGTAGAAGGCGCCCGCCGCGGGGAGCGGGGCTGGAGGTCGCGTCGTCCCGGGGTGGCGGAGATGCGACCGCGAGCTCTGGAGCAGGAGGACGCGCCTCCCGCCTCCCGGGGAACGGCGCCACCCGCTGGCGTCGCTTCCCCTCTCCGGGTCGGCCTCGGTGCAGGCCGGGCTGGGCGGGCCGGGTGG